AGAATATACAATGTTCTCCCCTTCTCCTGGTTTACTTGGCATAGTGGCACCATCCCCTGCTTCTAACTACCTAGGAGACCCTTTAAATAGGCCACAGTTCTATGGTTTTATAGCTCTTGCGGAACATTGATACAAAACCTCACACCATGCCGTGCTGAGCAAAAACTAGTGGTTTGTTCCTAGTTCTTTTACGCTTGTGATCAAGGTGGCCAGTCACGCACGGGTCATTACGTTTAAATTTATATGCTGACGTTTGAGCTCGGCAGCCACTCAGGTTAGATTCGTTTTCCGGGGCCTATTTAGTCGCATTACGAACTGGCGGTCATTTTTACGGCTAGAACACAGGCGCATTTCCCGGAAGTTTTCAACCTCCGGCATGCCTGGTTGCTGTTTTGTACAGAGTACGGAACTCGAAGTACCATTCACAAAGTGTTAGCGCTTTTACCTTCTGAAACGAGGCCTTAATTGCCGTTTAGGCGAAATACTGTCAGTTTCAAGACTGCCATGGATCAATGCTTGTCGACGACGACGTTTTTCGAATTCCACGCATAATGCGGCTCAATGCTCACCACCCTTCTGATTTTAGCTTAATCACAGGCTGTTGAAATGGAAATCGATTCGTTGGTTACATCCCGATTTGGACCTTGAAACTGTCTAACTAAACGTCCCTGATTTATTTCTATGAGCATGATGTCAAATTCGGCTATTAATTAATTTAAACAGCACCCAAGAAGCCAGATAATCCAATAGATAGGCAAGCATTGATGGGTGAAGGCGTATTTCATCATCTTCGGCATATGCTGTACATGTGTATGTTTGTATACCAATGAGAAGGCCAAAGATTTACAGTAATGCTGGATTACTGAATGAGCTTCAATAACTCTGACGCTGTCAGCTGAAGTCGATTCGATTGGTGGGCTCTTATTTTGACTTCGATCTCTGTTTTGTAGAGACATGTCAGATATTTCTTATTCTTATTTCTGATTTGTTCCCAGCGTCAAGTTTGGCTTATTGACTGACATAAGCGGCGTTCAGAAGATACCATAATATTTTCTACCCCAAGATGCCGTATATTTCTAGAGACGCTAATCATCAATATATGTTTCATAACCCAGACCGGGTTGCTCAATCTGTAGAGCGTAAGACTCAAAGCCGAGAGGCCTCGGTCGGTTCACTCGCATTTCTTTTCTCCTATGTAGATGAATGACTACCGCTCTTTTGGAATTAAACATTAGCCTACATGCTGTGCTCGTTACATAGTTGCAGACTCTGCTGCTAAAGAACAAGATAGTCCTAGTTAATGGTGCAGAAAAAAGATCAGTGCCGCAGCATAAGCTTCGTGAACTGGAGGAGGCTACAAATGGCCCCCAATCATGAAGGTGTAAGAAAGACCAGCACCCTAGCGGATGCGGGATTTACCTTTTTACTTAGTGCAGAAGCTCAAACATATGTTTAACATAGCTGTGACCTCTGAATGCAAATGTACTAATAACGACACTTATGGTTGAGAATATTGTTTCACAGTTATAACGAATTACTATTTTATATTCTGACTGTGAACGGTGATAAAATAAGATTCATGTTCTTTTGCATGAGCATGCCCAGATATCGATCATGAATAGTGGGTATATAGGAAAACTTGTGGGCGTATTGCAGGCCATTGTGAGATTGGTTGCACTGTATCCTTACGCATGTCGGTCGGTCCGTGCTGAAGATCTCCAGAAGTTAGTTAGTTAGTTAGTTATTCAACCGTAGATGCCCTCGTATCCTACTTCCAATGCACGCACCTCTTGGATGATGTTTTGAATGCAATCTCTAGCGGATTAAAAATCCGAGTTTTGACGTAAATTGGCAAATGCGTTTGGAAAAGTCGACCAGCTCCAAGTTTACTTCTTTATTCTTAAGCGACCGAAGAACTCAGAAGCGCCCTCTAACGCTTCCGGTGCAATCCGAAAAAAATAACTGAAACCTTTTTTTTAAACGTTTCGTTGAATGGCAAAAACTTCGGTCAGTCCCGTCAAACGTGTCTGGCTGGAGCGGCAGGTTCGTGTACATTTTGTTACTGTTCCTAAAGCTATCCTTTCATGCGGTACTTTTTCAATGCCTGCTTCCTGGTCTTCTCCCGTCAATCATTTGTTTCAGAGTCATCATATGGAAAAACGAGCTTTGAGTCAGTCAATCAGTCTTGAGCCAAAGCTGTAGCGTCGGAAGGCGACTTCGGTACACCGGAACACTGAGTCCATCGGTACACCTACTCCAGACTACTCTTGTCTTTCCTCGGAGTCCCTGCTACCTGTCGGACGAGCAACCCATAACTGCTAAGTCATTCTGATGATTTCTTCTGGTGGAATTTGCATAATATATGCAAACCGCCGTTGCGTCCTCCCAATCAGAATAAGTAGTAGCTCAGTTGCAGAGTTTCTATGCTTGCTGAGTTACGAACTCTGTCGAGACAGGTTAACCTTGTGATTAGCGCACAGGCCTTCAGTTTACCGTCACGCAATCTTCGCATCCTCGTCGGTGAAGGAACCACGAACAAGGTGGGAATCGCGCGACGAGGAAATACTCTTACTGTCATGAAATTCTAGCAATGGCAGTTGCAGAATGATAAATTTCTTACGCATTCGGAGCAGACCTGTTAGGAAGAAAAACGTTTAATTAAAGATTTGATTGGAGCAGTTATTTAAATTAATTCATTGACGTCTTCAACAAAACTTAAGTAGTTCTTATTGTGAATTATCTTTTACTTTATTCTCCCTGTCGGGCTTCAGACACGAAAGCTCATCATCAAGGATATTCGTATGCAGTAATTAGCATAACAGTACATTCATGAGGACAAAGTACAAAAATATTACAGACAGCAGAAAAGAAATGATAACGGGGTTTAGAGTAGTACAGGTTGAAACCTAGACCTGAATTTTAGCTGAAGGAAAGAATGGCATCAGATTACGGACTTCCAAACTGAACAGGTATCACCTTAACTTATGTTTGCTGCACATTATTTGTTTTTGAGCGAAATATCTAGGGACTCGTTGATGAGGAAACGAAGCTTGCCCTCTTCAAAATCTGGACTAGTAAATTTTTAATATTGAAATTGCTGGCATTCTAAGGAATATGCTAAATTAGTTCAGACCACTTTTTGGTTGTCTTCGCTAATTGTGTCCTTTCATTCATTTACGCTTACTCAGGTTTTTCTATGTTTTTCTGACATAGATATAATCACACGTTTTGCACGCAATCTGCTGAATGTTTTGTCGGTAACTACGGATCCAAACCTTACATGCCAAACGGATTCAATGGACGCAAATTTTATAAAGAATGCAAAAACCTTCTTTGTAGACAAAATCCTTAATTGCCTGATTTTTTGAATATATTCGGTAATAATCCAGGCGTAGATGATTCACTCAACATCTCATGTGAACATGAGGAGGCATCTGGTCATGAAAAAGTGGGGAGTACCTTGTGCGGTGTCACATCTCCCTCACTCGACCTTAAAAACTACTGCTTGTCCGTCCTGTGGTCGGTGTTCGCCACCAGCTCAGTGAAATTTCGATTAGGCGAGCGTTTAAACATGAGGAGGCATCTGGTCTTGAAAGAGATGGAAGTACGTTATATGGACCCTCACTCGACCCTACAAACTACTGCTTGTCCATCCTCTGGTTCCCACGGTGTTCGCCACCAGTCCGGTGATCATTTGGTTAGGCGATCGGCGTTATGGACCGCTTTCCGCCCGAATTCGTCGCCTTAACGATCGTCCAGCGGTCGAAGGATGCCATTGTGTAGTAGCGTCATAAAACGTCGTTTCGGCCGTTCATGCCCTCAGAAGCGTGGACATTCAAACTGGAAACGGCGCAACTAATGGATGCAAAGGACGGTCACCGAAAATCAGCCCTTCGCTACGCGCGCTTTTCCGTAAAAAACAAAGGCAAAAACTACTTTTAAATGCCACCAACTCTCCGACAACGATCTTAGTTAGTGAGTAAGGCCGAATGTCGTTGGAGTATCGTTGGTGTCGTCACCACGCGCTCCTCTTCCGTCATTTTCACAGCCCTCACTTTGAGATTTGCTGATGTTCAGGTGAGAGGGCAGTGGCACTTCATTTCCTGAAGCATGCGTACTCCATCGGCTAAATGTTCGTCCGTCCGGTGTTTGGCCACGACTGATTCGTCGCCTCAGTGCGAGGCTACTGTGAGCAGTAGTTTGCCGTGCACTTCGGTCAGCTGCAGGTGCTCAAATATCATGGAGCCGTGGCCTGTGTAAATGATCCCCTAGGCCATTAGAAGCAAGGGGACGGTGCTTACGTTGCTTCAGTCGGGTATCAAAAGACGAAAGGTTACTTATCTTAGCTGCAGTATGGAAAACTAGCAGTATACTGGTAAACCAATAAGATCGGGTTTGTTTTAATGTATGTTTGGTGTTCTGGGCTACCTGATTTTTACGTGCGCTTTGCGGCAGCAATTCGCCCTCAATCATTCTTAAGGAAACCGCAGAAGCTGTGAAGAGTAATGGAATAAAATAACAGTAAATTTATGAGGTATTAAAATGTCATAAATTCGTTTTTTATTCGAAAGACAGGGGAGTAATGATAAGATTTTGCTGCATGTTCTCCAGTGTTTGAAGTTGGGAGAGGTTTGACCTCGACACTTCCGTCAAAATTACCAGACATGGTGTCTGTTTAACAAATGGATTTGTCGAATATGCATTAAATTGGTTAACCCACTCCCTAATACAACGCTGCAGGCAATAGTGAATATAGGTAAAGTGCTAAATTTGGTAAGTTCCTCGGTGCAAATCAGGTACTGGCGCTAATGTCCAAGTTTTTTGAAAATGCCAGTACGTATTTCAGACTCTAGCGATTAGTTCTGAATAGCACGAGACCATTGTATCACCTCTGAACTTTCGACCTGACAGCCCGATGGCAGTAAGATCCTTGTCTCCTTGGCGATTGCAACGGCACAGTGTCGAAATCAGCATCGATCAATGAACAACGCACGAACTGAAGCGCTTGGCCTTGAACAAGTATGAATTCATCAACTACTTTTGTCAGTAGTTCATCTCTCAGAGCAGTCAGTCAGTCACGCCCCATCAAAGAATTTGATTGTTACAATTTTCGAAGCGTCTTCGTTCTACTTGTCATTTATTCATTCGTTCGTTCACTAACGAATTCAGTTTCTGTTTTCGTTTGTGTTTCTCAAACGGACAGCGTACGTGCCAATAAGAGCCTAAGAAACACAGATTTCAAATCAAAAGTAACTTCAGGTGTGTGGAATGGCTGCAAAATAAAGTCAGCAAGTAATCTAACGATGAGGTTTCTTTCTCATGTTGCCTTTTTTTGCTTTTCTTTTTGTCCTCATTTGTTTATCCAGTTTGATGGATGATGACGCCGGTTGCGTACCGTTCGTTGGAGACTGGAAAGCGCGTCTCCGTGCAAGCTACGGAAAGAGGTCGTCCACGCTGTCCATGGTGCCGTACCGCTGTGTCCCGAAAAATGCGCCACAAGTCAACGTGGCACTGGTCAACGCCGAAAAAACGTCACCTCTGCCTACGCACTTGCCTGAGCCTGAGAACATTCTTCCCACTGGTCGCCATACGATGATTATTCTTCAGTCCTTTCGCTCTTCATCAGATGGTTTTGCCTTGACGGCCACTTGCCGGGCACCATGAACATTTGCGCTCACTCTACAGCGCGGCCTTCGTCCGTTTGCTGACAGTCACCCAACTATCTTAGGCGCTTTTCCTGCAGCTAATCCGTCTTTCGGTTCCGTGACCTGCTTTGTGCTTTACGACAGCGCTTGATACCAGATCGTACCACTTGGCTGCAAACGATTTCAAAATTTTCATTTCCATCGCTTCTAGTGTTCGGTTATGAGCTGCTCTGTTAAATGCTTTCCTTCCCAGATCGAACAAGTACAACGTATTCGGATTGCAGTCCCTGTGTGTCCTCAGCGTCTGGCCATGGCCGGCGTGTTTGTCGTGTCAACACCCGTGCTTAACTCGTCGTTGTTCATCTCAGCAAGTTGCACAGCCCGTCCCTTAATCTCCTCCTGCAGCCAAGGTACTTGCGCGGTACCGATGTTTCGTAGCTTTTTCCTTAACTTCGCTGGTTTCGACAGTACTGAGTCACTGATGCGGTTTCTACCAGTTTTCATCTGCAGCATCTTCGTTGATCGTTGATCGAGACACCCAGCTCGACACCTGTTTCTTTCAGACTTTCAGAAACAACAACGCCTCAGCTTCGAAGCTGTCTGCTAGCGAGATGATGTCATTCACTAATGCAACGTGGTGAATGACTTAATGCGGATGTTACGTACTCGCGCGTTGTTTTGATCCCATTCATTCGCACTGGTTGCAGTACGCGCTCAAGAAGCATTGCAAACAACAGGGGACATTCCACGCCTTACCTTGTCTGAACTTAGTGCGACAGAACCTGCTTAAACTTCCTTCACTTCGCGTCGAGGAGAGAACACTGGATAGAGGCCTTTACAGTTTTGTTAACTGCGTGAACAGTTTTCTACTGAATTCCTTACTGTTCACCTGTGTTCTACGGTTTTGCCCAAAAGTTACGGTTGCTAGAGAAAAAGGCTATTTCCTGTAACCGTCATTTTGAGGCTCTACTGTTCCTCTTACTCCATTTCATTGTTTGCCTTAAGGATGGCCAGTGTTACTTGTCAGAGACCAAATGCGATGTCTCAACCGTGAATTGGCAACGCATCTGTAATTTCATTACCTGGTCCAGAAACGGGAAGTTGCTAAGGCGTTTATGAATTTAGCCAATGTTGCTTTGGTGCAACCAGCCGAGAACCTGATACACGTCATTGGACAGAGACAGCTTCGTATTGATGAATCCAATCCCTCTGGATTCATTAAATTCTTATATTGTTGCAATGATTTGGGTTTCTGAGATAAACGATTTACGCATTCCCTGAAAAAGTAGAAAGCCAGGAAGTAGTGTAGACATAAACTTTGTCCTTTCCCTTTCGGCCGACTTTACTGGACTTGACTCAGCTCGAATAACGATGGACAAAATTGTTTTGTTAAGAAATTAATTATACCGGATTTTATTTGAAGTAATTTCACACAACAAATTCCCGTATAGACAGGACCGGCTTTCGGCCGAAATTTTCAGTTTTCATCAGCCAGTAGTGAAATTCACCAGTATTCTCCTGCCTTTGTCAGCGAAGGTCAGTCGTTCGATGATATGCTGATATTTGTGATTGTTGACATGCTAGATCTTGACCATCTGTCGTGTCGCTCTTGTCATGTTCGAAAGGTCTTGGCGAAATGGCTGTTTGTTCCTCTACATTGGATCGATTTGGCTATGACCTTGCAAATCCTTTGTAGACTTATCCATGTTTTCGACATTTCTAGCCTACAGTCCCGACCCATAGCATGATCCGTTGTCTGAATCAGAAATGCTTCCAACAAGACCCGTTGAAATATGATCGATACCATCCACGAAATTGGCGTGGTGTCCAAACGAAATATGATTACCGGCCGGTCCAGAAATGATTTTTAAATTTTGTAATACTTCTTGGCCGACGACCTCTCATTTCTGCTCTGATCCACAGTGGTCGTGATGCCTGGCTAATATACCGTAGCTTGCAAGTCAAACAGTCCTCCATCTGGTATGCCACATCTGTTTCGTCTTCAATGGCTATCCGATAATTTACCTTCGTTAGGATTGATCTTAACTTTCCTTTAGACTTATAAACAATCCTCATATTCGTTAGAGTCATGATCTGCTTGACAGATTCTGACAGACCCGAAAAGTAAGCTATGCAAGTGGAAAATTCGGGATAATTGTTCGATCTCAGGTCTCATCCGGTCCTATACCGTGATGCATTCCTGATTGCATTCTTGGATATCCGTTTCGTTACAGTAACTTAGTTTCGCTAGCTGTCGACTTTCACCACTGTGACATCGAGAGTGCAGGCTCCAAACCCGGGAAATAGTAGCCGTTCCAAGCCTGGTCGAAAGGCGAGAGTTTCGTCTCTTCTTTGGCGTTTCAGTACTCCAACGCTGCAGTGATGTTACCAGAACTTCGAGGCCGTACTTGGCCTTGGTAGTTCAGTTTTCTATTAGAACTACAGATCCAGGCATTCTGGCGATGATATGATCTGCGAAAGAATCGCTGGTCATTGCGTCTTGCCAATAAATAGAATGGCTGTCTGTAACAGTTGTGTTCAAAGTCTTGAACGCAGTCTAATTTCGTGTTTTATTTCGGCTGTTATTTATTTATTTTATTTAGTCTTATTTTTAAATATTTAAAATTTTGTTCAAGCAGTAAACTTTCACTTTCACTCTTCACAACTTATACGTCGGTTGAAAGTCTTCTATGTCTGCGGTCAACTTCTCAGCCGCCACCGCGTACAGCGCATGTGTGGCTAAGAGACGGTCGTCAGCGCGTCCATTTTGACGTTTCCTGAAGCCGCTTCGGTCGGTGATCGATGACCACAGTTTCATTAGCCTCGGACAACACGAGGACACCACGTTCGTTCCGTTGGCGGGCGCCGTTTTTCTGGAACACACAAGGGGATGCCTTCTGCGCCGGTCTGCCGGGTCTGTAAGCGCGGTCATTTGTCACTGGCGCTTTTCTTGTACACCGGAAACGATGTCGAACGCAGCTGATTTCTTGGTCGCCTTTGTACCGGACCAGAGGCTGACAGTCTGCTGTGTGAGGCTTCCAGCTGAGGGCACTTGCCCTCGTTGCATACTTCCAAGCAAAGAACAGTGATATAAGTTCGACGCCTACGCATTCCTCATAAACGTTCCGAATCTTGTCGAAGACTACATTTCTTCTTATGACTCTTGATGCTCGGGTGGTCGACTGTCCTCCATGCTGTGAAATATTTTACTAAAAATCTAGATGATAATTCGTTGAATAAGTTCTTGCAAAATCTGACCAACCGTTGGGAACACGAAAGGCAATCGACGAATCACCGGGTTGGGAGACTGTTCTGTACTGTGAGTGATGAATCACCCGACTCTGTCCATTCTCCACAGATGCTCTAGAACCACAAATCTTTTCCATTGGTAAAGATTCTTTTTTCCAGCCGTACCTTTGGCTACATGATCTGAGTGCGCTATTCTTCATGGTCCATCTTACATGTTCGTCAGGCATCACAATTTGCTCTGCTGTTTGTGCTATGGACGCACAAACTATATTCTGTCTGCAGTACAGCGCAGAACTGTTTATTTATACACAACGAGCCACACGTAGCCTACTGCCGGATCACTTGCACCGACCAGTAACTGGCCGGCGACTAATCACACTGGCCACAGCACGATCGCCGTTCCTCATAGTTTTGAGCCTCCCCCTCCTAACGCTTCTCGGCTCCATATATGATCTACCCACCTCGGTCGGCTGGTAGCGGCCTAGTCCTCCCGCAAGGGTACCAGTCGATGATCAGCGTTAACCACCTCCTGTCGGCAAGCTGAGTTACTTGCGTGGCCTACGGCAGCTTCTTTCTGATTTCCAGTACCCCTCCTTCGATACTGTCCCCTGTCTTATATCACGCTGTTGGGATGTAATCGCGACCTGATGGTCCAAACATTCTTCTGGCCAAACGTTCCCATGGCTCTCTCGGTGGTGACGGCTGGACGCTCTTCGGCCTAAATGAATGAACACGCCTCACAGCCATGCAGCAAAACTGTAGAAATAACGAGTTGAGTGTGTTACTGTCCCGATGTTGCCGAGCATCACGTCTTTGATGAAACAGAACACGCGTCAACCGGCTCTCATCCTTCTTTGAATCTGTCCAGACTCCAGACTGATCATACCGCTTGTTGATCTCGTGGACCAGCGGAGTGATTTATCGACTTCGATTTTTTCGCCTTTGAACATTACCTAAGCATTCGGCAAGGTGCCTTTGACTTTTGCATTGTTCCTCTCGAGCTTTTGCACGACGTCTTGCAGCTGACTGACTTTCTCCGCAGACAATGCCACGTTATGAGCGAACCATAGGTGGTTATGCTGTTCAGCACTGATGTTAATTCCACACTTCCAGTTCATCCTCCGGAATAAGATTACCAAACAGGCAGTGAAGAGTTTTGGGGAGATGATGGCCATTGTTCACGCCCTTCTTTACGGTAATCCGGAGGAGGTGTCGAACAGCGTTATGCTTATGAAGCAGCCAGAGTTCGCTTCCTTTAGTAGGTTGATGTAATTGGTATTGGTGCCCTGCCTTGGTAACGCAGGTCACACTGCGTTATGCTGGAGGCTGGAATTCTCTCCCGCTCTCGAGCAGTTGACTTGAGGTGAAGATGTTCTCCGTTATGCTGCAGCTCCTGTGAAATCTCGCTTGTCCTCTTGATCGCTGTTCGTCCACACTTGTTGACAGTGATGAGCTTGGCGAAATGCTCGTAGAATTACGAGAGCGGCAGATTGAGCAAAAGTTTTT